GTCTGCTAAAACGTCACTAAACCTTACCTCCCTAAACGCGTCCTTTAACTCCTTTATCCCGATCATGTCTGCAGTTTCAGCGAGGAGTTTTGGGCCCATTAGCTCCACAAAATCGTCAAAATCAACATGGCCGCCAACTGGTAGGAGAATGCATCAAAACAATCCCTGTTAAATTTCATGTAATGAAACATGAAGGTTGAGGTTGTTTGGGAGCTTTTAATGATGCAGTTCTGTTATGGTGGGATGCTTTTGGAGGCACAAACAGAAATTAGTTAAAAAAAGTAAATTAAATTCAAAATTAACTGTTCACTAAATTACTAGGCAATTAATTGCATTTGTAATATAACTGCAATTTAACAAAATGTAATTTTCAAATCTTAGAGGCACTGATGATTAATCACACTATATCTAAGATGAGAAAGAGAGGACATTTCTCCCTCCACCCCTTTAGGTGTTTTTAAAATGTTTGAAGCGGGATTTTGCCACACAGAAAGGTAGAGGGAGTTGCAACTAGCTCGCCAATCCATGCATGCAAGTAGAAGTAAACACTTTTTCACACAATGGTTACAGTGAAGTCCTGTTACGATGTTTCCCGTGGAAGCAAGCTGTCATAAAACCAAAAGCCAGAAGTGAAACATCTACAAGTTTGGGGTCAGAGAAAAGGAAAATCTAAATAAAATCGCAAACGCAATTTTGCTTCAAAATAATTTCAATTTCGATTTTTGCCAAAAACGTTTATCCATAATTTACTGTGGATTTTTTAATATGTAATTGAGTGTGAAATTATTTCATCACATAATATCAGGGAAAGATAACTTGAATCAATCCAAAACCTTATTGCGAATATAACTATAATTTTATTTATCAATAGAACAAAACAAGCTAGCTACAAATAACAAAACAAAAGAAACTTTAGAATGTGTTGTACTACCATTAACTTCTGGCTGGCTTACACTTTATATAAAATAGATTGAAAGCCAAAACTTTGATAAGGCCACCTTCATTTAAGGTGGACTTGCTGATGTTCCAATAAATATCTTTTTAATAAATTTCTGCCTACTTTTAGCTGTCAGATTGGTTCTGTTTAAGTAATTTAGACCTGGATCTGGCTGTGAAACTGAACCAAAAACTGTGGGTAATCATCCACAGTTTCTCAAATTATTTTGGTTAATAAAGTATATTGTCCTATACAAAGTTTAAATTTACTCAGGTAATGTCTGTCTGGTAATAAATTTGATCGATGTATTTAAAACATCTCACCAAACACCAAACAAAGATGTGAATACTTTTAACACAGTACAAATAATCACCATAATACTGGATTAATGGTTCTAAACTGGGAATAAAGGCACTTGTAGACTTCAAAACCTTCCTGACATAATAGACTTATAAGAAACCTTGGATATTCTTTAAATTGTTTGGTTTACTGACTCAGACTTGAGGTACGGTGAATAAAAGCCTCACATGGATGGAGTGAGACTGCCCTGATGTTACCTAACGCCATCCACTCTACAGCCAGTTTGGTTGTTTGTGTAAGATCATCGTCTTGTTGGGGAACCAAACCATGTCCAAAAGATAACCATCTGTGTGTTGAGCTTGGGCTGACGTAAACAGTGCAAACTGGCGGAGAAACACTCAGCATGATGCTACCACCTCTGTGCTGAACAGTTTGCAAAGCAATATTTGGTTTGAAAGTCTCCAACCCCTTAATGATTGTCATCATGGCTTAATGGCTCTACCCATACCGTCTCCATAAACCTTTTCATTTACATTGTTTATGTGGGCATCTCTATGTTTAAATAAAAGGACAATGATCCCAAAATTACATCGAAATAAAGCAGGCTGACATCAAACTTCTGTAACTGCACAGTTGAGAACGTACTCGTACTTGTACTCATACTCCTAGTCATACTTGTAATGTTTTGCCTATCCAAGACCGAGTCATGGGGGCAGCACTCAGCGGGGACACCCAAAGACTCAATTGTCATGGTCTTCTTTCTATTGTGCTTTACTTTGCTCTATGTTCCTAGTTTTATTGGTTTAATTCCTTTTTTGTTGTAATTTCTAGATTTATGTTAGTTCTCATGTTTTTCATTTGCCCTCTTGTGTG